GATGGACACGTAATTCACGTGATGGCGTATCGAAAGCAATAGTCAGCGGTACAATGGTCAGCAATAGTTCGCACAACCACTACTTTCGACACATCGTCACGTGGGGGATGCGGGTCAACAACCGTATCCGCCAATGTCCTCCTCCGCCGTCAACAACGAGATTAAAGTGGATGGCGTTTCTTGAAATGTTACTCGCAACAGTTAGTCCGCGGGGAACGATTGATCTACAAATGCAACAAAATCACGGCAGTTTGAAGCATATTTGTAATTACATTTTGGTTTTGATATTTTTGTCCTTAATAATTATTATTAATTATTATTATAATTATATCTTTCCCGATATATATGTTTCGTACGTTTAATTGTTTTGTAAATATAGATCCGTAAATTGCACAATTGTATGCGTCAATCTACATAGAGACGTTTATCACATTATAAATATTGCAATTTTGGCAGACTACCTAATTTGCTATTATAACGCAATAATGATTAAATGGGGCAATGGTTTGTGGTTTAATTGGGTAACGGGTTAAGCACACACAGGTGCAATTTACCACGAGCTAAGTGAACCGTAACGAAGGTAACCCATCGAATGAAGTGCCTCGGAGGTCGATTGACGAGAGAAGAGCGAATGTGTCGTTAACAAAGTAATTTTTCAAACGAGCAAGCATTATTCCTGAGTTAAGCCGATGATGGAGTTTACATGTCGGCAAAACAAATGGCTATTCGATATATACATATAATTCTCCTATATTCTATTTACATCTAAACATGCACTCGCATATGTATACATGCCAGAGACGGAGAGACAAATTATATCCCATATCCGGCATTGCAAATGAGATCATTTCCCGAGCGTGATGTGAAATGCCGTTATTCTCATAATTAAAAGTTAATTTGCGATCGCTCCATAATTTCCGTAATTATTCCGAGACAAATTCTTCTTCCACATTTGACTTCTTCCGCTTATCAAATAATATTCGATTATACTTCACACGTTTCAGGAATATTCCTGACGTATGAGACTATTGTTCCCGTCTCATAAAAAGTTTATTTGCAGACGTGGCTGTCGCGATGACGTCGCCTTGTATCTCAGAAAGTAGGAAAGGTAATATCCGTTCGCTCTCCGCGGCGGTAATGCGAAGAAAACTTACGCTTCTACTGGATATACTTTTTTAAAAATTGATGCTTTTACTAGGGACATGATGGAATCGATGAAACTGGTTGAAATTTCTCTCTACTGCTGAAATAACGTTAACCTGTTTTAATATCAACAAGGTTGTGACATATCTCAGAGATTATTCTCGTGAGAAAGAAAGAAAGTTAAAACCAAGTACGTTTTGTAGAAACGGTTAAATCTGCGCTCTCACCCTCTCTTCTTTCCTTCTTTTCTCATATTATTTTTAAAAAGTGCAAAGTTTTTTTTAATTTAAGCTACGTATAATAATTTAAAAAACTAATTAAAACATTTTGGAAATGTTGTTTTCAAAGCATCGCTCGAGTTATCTTTAATTTTCTATATATACAACATTTTCCGACTTATTACCGATAGCTGCTCGAAGCAAGAGATCCGATGGCGTGTAGTGAAAACATGAGGAAAATACGAGTCGCGATACACGTACGACGAAAAGTCGTAAACCATCAGCCGTAAAGCCCAAGCATTTACGAACGCGTCGCACACTGGAATCAGATTCTTTTCACGAGAAACTTTTTCACACAACACCAAGTTACATTCTATTCAGGAAAATCGCAACTGAAGTGATGAATTAAGACTGCAACGTAAATTTAAATAATATACACAATTTATAAAATTACATAAACAAAAGCATACATGAATAATACCAATATGTAAAAAGTTTAAATTAGAAATATAAATTTTTTTTATTTTCTTTGTTATAATTTTTAATTAAAACATGTAACAATATGATATAAGCTCTTCTATTTTATTCGATATAAGATTGTATTGATTTAATTAGAGATTTATAATCAAAATTACGATGGAAAACATTCAAAGTATTAATCCATATATATTATATTACAAAACGTATATCGGCGGCAATAAAATGATATCTAATTGGATTAAAAACTTATAGCAGATTGTGATGTCATTTGCAGTGGCACGAAAAAGATTGAGATCAAGTGGGATCTTATGAATCGCTCTCTTGTCCAATGTAATAACGAAATATAATAAATAGCATGTTGTTACCAGTTCTGGCAAACCTCCAGGCTGTTGCCGACATGAAACGTCGTCGAAAGCTATAAAAGAGATATAAGCTTAGGGCGCAATATTTGGCCTAATCGAAAATATATCGCACAAAAAGAAAACAATGGATCAATAAATTTTTTTGTTAAAGCAATTAAAATTTAAATAAATCATATATATCACTTTTAAAATCGAATACCTGCTAATAATTCAACAGAAATATTTGCAAGATTATCATTTTATTTCATGTTTATTTTTTCGTGTGATTTTATGAGAATGTAGAAACAAGGATATTTTCTCATTTTTGACAGATAAATGACTTTTCATTATTCAAGTAAATATATTGATCTCACAAATGCCATTTTTTGCTTTTTCATAAATAAAAGCGCTTGTCCCCTAACGAGTTTATTAATCTGATGAAGTACGCAGTGCTGAGTATTAGTAGATTTATCATGTCAGTAGGGGGACGAAGACGAATGTCCCATAACAATTAATGACTGGTATTCCTTCGTGATAACGAAAACATTCGAGAAAAAAATTTCATTGAAAGTAGTCACAATATATCGAACGATTATTAATAATAAAACAAATTCAACTCACATCGGACGTTAAAATAAATACAATTAGGAAAATTAAAAAGATTTATACGCGTATCGCATAAAATTATAAAGCAGATTTTATAAAAGCGGAAAAACAATGAGAAAGTAAAACATACAAATAAATTTTTAATTTTAATTTAAAATTTTTCTATATTTGTTTTTCTTATACTTATATAGTTCGATAAATGTTATGTGTGTAACGTGCAAAAAAATCGATTCTTCATATATATTCATATATTCATATATAAATAAGAATGTTAAACATTACATTGTACAGTGTTTATATTGCACATCCATTTTAATTTAATTGAATCCGTAACGGGTCAAGCGTAAAAACTTTAAATTGCGAGATTATCTGCGAAAGCCAGTCGTTGACTTAAATCCTGTAAAAAATCCTTCTCATTTCCATTATAATTCGAGTAATTCTTTCGCTGCTTCGGTTATCTGTAAATTGATTAGCAAAGTCTGTTTAAAGTCGACTTTAACTGATGCGTAAAGCCGATTAAAACGCAACATTGGAAACTTGTTAATCTCGTTAGAAAAGTGCAGATAGTAGCAGTATAGAGCTGAATTATGATCCGCGAAAAGAAGGGCGAAATTACAACGACTATAACTAGAGTTCGCGCTCGTTTCAGGCTTCACAGGCGCAACCGTTCAAATTATTTCCTCGTTCCGGGGAAATTACTATCGTGCACTTTTTGCTGAGGTTCTTTGCATCTTCCTGCCAACGTTATCCGACGACGACCGGCACGGCCCTTCCGGTAATTTGCTTTTTCCCCTCCCGGTTTGCTTGGCTCCCTTTCTGCAGTGGTGCCCACTACTCTTCTTCTTTCTTGAAAATTTAATCGCGGAGCCGCGACGTCGCCTTTAATGCGATTCTTCGCCGCGTTCCTCCTTTTACCTTGCCTCGTTTTATCGAAGTTTTATTTCATGCCGTCGACATTCGCCGACGCGAGACTTTCTAAAAGAGTCATCCGCGTCCGATGCGGTTAATAACAGCAACCTTTTCCCGAAGACACACTTGCTAGATCTTACGGAAAAACGAAAAAAGAGAAAAAAAGAGAAACACCCATGTTTCGGTATTACGGCATCGGTTAAATATTGCCAACGCCACCGGAAAGGTCGAAATAAATCGGTTTTCGATATTAACGAATGCCATTCCGAGAATTGGTTAGCGAAATTAAATACGTCCTTCGGTTTGGAGCGAAATCACGGTCTAAATTTTGCAATCGTAAGCTAGGATCCGGGAACCAATTTCGACTCCTACATTCAATTTCGTCTTACTTCAACTCTTCGTTCAAATACGTTAACGTTTTAAGAACGCTTACAACGACGAACGAAGCGTATAATATAATATCTAGCCAGTCGTGAAATTACGAGATACTACAAGAGATTCTGAATCGTAATTTTTATGAAGAATTTCATCTTGGATAATCGTGGACGTAACATGACGAAAGCGTACTTGTCCTACATGAGATCCTACTTAATTTCACGAAGCGCGAAATAAGCATTTGTTATTTCGTCCAATTAAAAAAATTAGTTAATTAATAGTTACAACATAGAACAGTTATGTTTTAACAACTTGTGGATTATGAACACTTACTGAATTGTGAACAATAGAAAATATTTTAATATATTGCCATAAATGTATTGCACGTGTCAAAATATATTTGTAAAACGACATGATTAGCTCTATCGTCGTTTACATAACATAAGTGATTTAGGAAAGATATTTAGGATATCAAAGTTGAGTGTCCATTCGAACTCGCGTTTTATCGTGTTGCTAATGTTCACGAACGAAATCAACAACTCAAATTACTGTCTGCCCGTTTCACTTCGAATCAAATTACTTAGCCGCCGGCGGTACATAGGGTCGTAATTGCGAAGGAAACTTCTCAAAAGATGCTTAAGTTCGAGAAAACTTTCTTAGGCTCGTTCTCAAATTTACATTTTCCGCGTTCTAGCGAAGAAGACTTTGCCTGTCTAAGACGACTTTTACCGATGCGGTGCCATCACTCGGTATAATTAAACTTGTCGCATATCCTTTCGGAACATCGTATCCATTACTCGAGAATGGAGTATAGTCTCGAGTACTTCGCCGCGATCCATGTCGACACGTTTCATAAAATTTCATTACCCTTTCGCGACAGTTATCGCGACCAGTTCTCGCTAACATGGGACTGTTTTCTGTTGAGCAGGAGCGAACGGATGCGCCGGACAGAATTGGCCCTGGAATGGTAATCGCGGCGCGGCAATAATAATGGCTATCATGGCGGCCACCCTGTTCCTGATGATGACATCGCTGACGATGACGGTACCCCCGATAACGAATGTACTACCGAGGTGCGAGCCGTCGGTTAGCAGGTAGCTCGCGGGCATCCTCCATGAAGATATCACTACTGCCACTGTCTGATCCGATTACATCGTCCATGTAAAACCTAGTAGTCTAGGGCTTCCAGTTATATATGTTACTATGTATAGAATAGATAGTCGAATAACGATGATTTTTATTCTCGAGGAGCCTACGAAAGGGAAAGAATGAAACGGTGAAACGCTGGCGGATCGGCGCGAGGCTAATTCATATACAGTTACTTTTAAACATGTTGTCTTTTGATGTAAATTGTTGATCACTAATAAGAAAATGAGAGAAACAGATGAAAGATAAAGCGGCATCCGTGTATCAAGACATAGGGAAGAATAGTGGCTATTTAAAGTATGGGGTGAACATGACAATTATAACAAACCGAGGGGATTAACTTCGTATTCGTCGGGATTAGAAGTTGATATTCCGTTTCGATAACAACGGAATGGAGAACAAATGATAGAGATTAAATTTTCGTTATTATTTTCTGATTTAAATTTTCCGACGGAACACACGTCGATAGCACACGTGCTATAAATGCGGTATTTATTAGTGATCGGAGTGTTCACCAAGTGTCAAATATAGATTATACAGGGGTAATTATATGATAACTGATATAATAACGTTAGCGCAGTAACGAGCGGCGTTCTGCTCAATATTCGCTCCTTTTATGATGTCTAACAGAAAACGCAAGATAGGTACTGATTTGTAATCTGTACAAATTGTAATAAATTATAATACGAACCGTAAACATGATATATCACATTATTGGCACGCATCATTGCGTATTAACTTTTTATATCGTTATTTTATTTCCTTGTTTTATATTTTTGCAACCGAATCCTTTTTCCCTTAAAAATATGATAAATGCTAGGTAAGTACATTTTGCTTGTCTATATTTGCTCTCTCTTTCTACGTCTATCCTCTCTTTCTTTTTTCTATTATTCTTTGTTATATGATAGCAATTGTTGCATATTTATATATTCTATAATTATTTTCAATAGTACAGCGTTCCTCATAACATGCAAATAATCATAATCGAAGAATAAAGGGGTATAATTTCGAACTCGTGCACTTTTAAAATTAAGTCTTAACTCATAAGATGCTTTCAAACTTTTATACCTCTAAAGCGAGTTAATATTGACCCATTCATTTCACGCGAGTATACGCGCGTTTGCACGAAGCATTCTTGGCCTTCGGCATGGCTTAACATCAAAATAATTATCATCCAGCATTTTTCCCTCTCTCTCCCTCCAC